GATGATGATGATTTTCATCGTTCTTAAACAGTGGATAGGTCTAGTTTACAATGACATTAGTTTAGTCTGTTTCAGTTTAAACCCAGAAGCTATTGATTCCGTAATTAATTAATGAATTTAATGTCAGCGCACACAACGTTGTGCATGAAAGTAGCCTAAAGTGTAACAATACATTAGTGGAAAAGTCATCTGCAAATCCGTTTGAAACAGCTAGCGTGTCGGTTTTTTGACCTTTAAATTTTGTAATCAGTATGCCGCCCAGAGCTATCTTCAGAAATCACAGTGACGTGCAGCTGTTTGCAGCCTGGTTCATCATCGTAGTTAGCACAACAGTTGTCTTTTTGTTTATCAATATAATTGTACTTTGCCTGCGAAGCGACGAATTCTGTAAGAAGTTAGGGAACCGAAAATTTTTCCTTCGGCGGAAGAAGGTCAGCCGGAAAGAGAAACCGAAGGAGTTAAGTGTCGCCCAAGGAGAGTCAGCGTTAGATACACTAGCAAATGTGCCATCCGTAACAGGCGACGTCGAGGGGAAACAAGAAGAAATCCAGAAGAAACAGAAGGAAGACGCTAAAAAGGTAGCACCCAAAGAGGAAAGAAAAGTTGCTACATCGGAAGGAAACGAGGAAACCAAAAACAAGCAACGGAAAGCTGTGAAAGAAGACTCAATGAAGAAGCCGCAAGTCGCTTCGCCCAAAGTCAAAAATGAAGCAACCAAAGATGTAGAACCAGCAGCCGTCTTGGACGTTATGAAAGACGAAGCAAAGAAAGAACCACAAGCCGCTCCACTGTATGACAAGAAGGAGAAAGGTGAAATAACCAAAGATGAACAGAAGCAAGTCATTCCATCGGACAATAAAAACGATGCTTTAAAAGACGAAGTTCTGCGCGATGGTCAGGCTGCTAATAAACCAGACAGTCCAGCGAATGTGGTCATTAAAGGACACTCAAAGAATTAATTGTACCATATCCCACTTTATGTTCCGTGCCGGCTTTTCTTGCAGGTATTATTTCGCGCATTATGGAAGCAATATGTTGTACACAATAAAATTTTCACGTTTATTTTTTATCCTCTACATGGGGCTCATCGGCCACTCTCCTGAGGTCCCATTCACTGCTATCAGAATTTGCCGCGGGTCCCAGTAGATTATGGCTAGCTGTTGTAATACAGATATGCGTCACTGATCGTAAGTGCCACACCGTACTAACATTGTGAGGTTGGAGAAGGCATATCGTGTGACAGCATAGTACATTTCAGCCAACCGATATGATCTGTTTATTTGGCTGAGTAACACGTTTTGCGCAGCTAGTTCATCCCAGAGCTGTAATAAATACAAATGATATTTTATGCATAACAAGTAAGGACTGTACGTAATTTGCAGTGATCACTGTTTTCTTAGAACAAACCAAATTTTGGATTCACTATTTTCTACCTCAGACTAAACATCATTCAGCTGTTGATTGGTAACATTTTAATTCAGCTGGAAATCATAACTCTTCTTTTCCTGATAGATTTTTTCCGCGTAAGCGCAGCACATCTTTGTTTCTGGAGGTTAAAAATCTACTTGCATTCAAATTCGTTGGATTGGTAAGGCACTATGTAGTAAGTACCACATGACATAGAGGTTATACCATTTTTCTATTACCTTTGAGCATATTAATCCATACCAGTATACGCTGTAATTAACTCACAAGTCGGTCCATGCATGTATCGACTCAAACTGATTTGCGGTTCAGTCCACCCCCATAGCGCTGCAGTTTTACTGGATTATTATTTAACTTTTCTCTATGCTTAATCTTCAGCGTCTCCGCTTGCATAGTCAGGTTTGAACAGTTAATCTAGTCTAAAAATTATGTAGCTGTGCGTATAAACCATATATTACTAGTCTGGAATTTGGACTAATTTCAGCATACCGATGCAGATTGATTTAAACTTTTCACAAAACATTTATATATTTGCATACAGATTCTTGCGTATGTGTGACGTTTGAATGTGCGACTTTCTAACTCAACCCGGAGGCGCAACGCTGCATTGCATGCATTGAAAATGCCGTTGAAAGTACAAAAGAAACGAAGACATTGAGCGAAATAATTTTCAATACCTGCAAGCACATTGACTGCCATAAACGCAGCATTATTAGAGCAAAACCAGCTGATACCAGTGCGATGGCAAAATATCTCAGCAGACTGCGGGATAGGGAAATAGATGCTGCCAAGTGCAACGCAATGTTCCAACAGTTATACCAGTTGTATATTCTCCAGCTTATCCGTTTATAAATTGTTTTATTGCTTATGTTTTATACTCAAAAATCTTCACCTGCTTCATCTTTATTTTTATTTTATAGAACTTAAGTCTCAACCGAAACTCGCTGCTTTTACTGATTTGATCTTTCATCGGGTTTAAGCTCAATGCATTTTAACAATTTAGCACAAGCGAATGGTATTCTTCATGACATTCTTCTTTGTTTCAATTATTTACTGCAGGAATGGTCCAAAATACTAATGCTCAGAAACGATTGCCTAGAATCTTACTTGCTAAGAAACTGGAATCCAGTTCCTTCCTAATCAAACTACACCAAATTTGAATCACATTGGCAGGGAATACAGCGTTCGATCGCGGAAATGCGATATAGCGCTTAAACAGCATTGTTACCTTTCATCTCTGTTTGTATTGATTATGATGTATCTTATGGTACATTTTGCGTCAATTATAATACGCATTTTATGGCAAAATAGCTTGAAGATCATTTAATCTTTCGCCGTTCGAATTACAAATCGACACAAATCCATGTTCATACATGTGGCGTTTGTCATCTTAAATGTGTTTAAATGATATCATTAGTAAATAAATATACAATGGAACAAAACAG